AGAATCGAGAGCCGAAGTACCCTTTAAACGTAACAGCGGTGTTAAAAGTGATGACTGCCTATCTAATTCAGCAGTCCTCAGAAAGGAGTGCACTAGAATTCAGACTAGCATGGTAGGACAAAAACTGGTCACTATGTACTGTCTTCTACGCTGTGGATGCTGGTCCGTGTCAGATGAGCTGAGTTTGGCGCGGTGCCAACAATTGGTGGAGAACGGATTAGTGCCGCGCCAAACCCGCCCCCTTAACAAGTGCCAACGTCCGAAGGGGACGAAGACTATAGGTGGAAGGGGAAAGGAACAGTTTGCTCGACTAAGCCACTTCTCTGCGTCCAAAGGCGAAACCACACGGACAGCGTCCGTTTGCAGTTTTTTTTTTCGAAGAGACCCTAGGAGGTAGATAGATTATTATCTCTACGAGAGAGAGGCAAAAGAACCACCTCAGTTGAGCCACCTCTTGCCCCCCCATCACCTGAAAATTGCTGGGTCGCCGAAAACCGCAATTTCGCTCATTACTCGTCATATCCATAACCACCTCATACAGAACTATCTCAAAGACTTACTATAGGTTCCTTTGATTCCATCTGACCGCTGGGCACCACAAAGTTCTGAATTTCCTGTTGGTATGGATGTGGAACGTCTGACTCATAGTTAGACGATAGATCACTGCAAAAAGGAGTATAATATTGATAATATATCATTCAGAAGTTGAGGAATGCAATGAGCTGAGCACCTCTGCATTCCACTAGTAGCAGATTGTTCATCAACAATAACCATTCCAGAAGCCTCCTTCCTTGGTAGAGCATTGTGCTTGGTTTTCAGCTTAGGAATGAAGGGGTTTGTTGAATTATCGATCGATCCTTCGAAACCGTATTCCTTTTGTGGCTTCACCTTGACGTTCTGAATTGTCCAAAGTAAATCAATAAGGTTAAGGCCTTAAAATTGGATAAAATTACAAGTAGAGTGAAATTCACGCACAGCTACTTTCGAAGCTTTGAGCTCTTCGTGAGCTAATCGCAACTGTTCTGCAATAGCGGAACCAGGGTCAGAAGCATGTATTCGTTCTTGGAACCTTGCCTCTGCTTCAGCTTCTGGAAAAGTGATCTATGAATGCTGCAGATGTTCAATGTATATAACAGAGAGGCAGTACTTCTTCGTTTTGTAGATTCTGCTCCGATTATGGTCTTCGGCACCTCAACGTCATCACGACCGCCGCGATCCAACTCGTCCATAACGATCCCCTGCACATCAATTACACATTATTTATGCGAGTGCTAAGATAGTTTTGAAAAAAATTCGTACCGCTCTCTCTACGACATGGTCATCAACCATAGCAACTCTTTCTAAGTACTCCTCAACATCACAGTTCAACTTTGGCATTCTTGTTGGGCAACCAGTATTGCGCATAAGACTGGTCAGCCTTAATAAGTAGATGAAATAGTATAATAAAAAATAAGAGCATAAAGAAAAAAAAGACGAAAGACAACTCACATCAGGCGTAGCCTTGTTTCTTGCTGCTCCATAAAAGCAGTAAAAGCGCTGAATGAATTGCAGAGCTCAAAGTCATCGCCACGTCTCGGCAGTTCAGTTGCTGCACGTACCAGGAGGGCAGCCTTCTGCATGACGTCCTGCATATGAAACACATTGCAGAATAGCGTTATCAGCTTCAGAGCATTCATACAATAATGCCAAGTACGACGATGTTCTAAGTCACAAGCGAGTTCACGACCAGACTGCACCCTTTCCCGGAACCAAATAAGAGACGGTAGAGAGGAGGACTGGGTATTTGTAATGCGGACTTTCGAAATATGCGAGAAACGGCCCGAAAAAGGTAGTGAAAGGAAAAGTGACAGAAATAATATGGAAACGAAAAAGCCAGTGAAAGGTAAAATAACAGAAATAAAAAAGTAGAACAAACATAGGCATTGTAGTAGTTTTAAGCAATACGAGGTAGACTGCGAAGAAAAGGGAACCTCAGAGGATGGACAAAAAAAGAAAAAGGGTTGAAGATACATTTCGTGGTTGCAAATCGTGGAAGGTGGATTGTAAGTATGAAATTCAGAAACCAACAGCAGTAAACTCATGTCCGTGGATTCTTCTCCTTCCCGCATGTAGGGTCACAAGAAAACCACTTTTTTCATGCCAAAAGTGCCTGGAAACGGTGCTGGAGTGGTGCTCGGATGCCGTCTCCATACTCCGCCCGCGCTGCCGACGCCTAACCATAGCCAAACGCGTCACCTGCTGCGCTCTCTCACTTCTTTTGTTCTCTACCGCTGTGTTTCGCTGCAGAACCATGGCATCGACGCAAGAGCTGCATCCTAAGGATAGCGCGAGCGGGGCATGGAGTCAGTCTACGGATATCACTAACTTACTGCCTCATTCAATGCAGTTTTAAGTGGACAAAGTACCACGGGGACCCATCTATCCCGCACACAGGAAAGCACCGTCCTCGATGATGAGTTTACAGTTTGTCTTTTTGGGATAAATTGAACTCACCTTAACGATTTCTTGAGTCTTTTCTGAGCGAACATCGTCAGAACCATCACCACCTCCGCTTGAAGCTGATGGCTCAACATTCTGTTCCGGATTATCACCCATGTTCCTCTAAACACACCAGAGCAGATAAGCTCACTACAGTCATTACCAGTTAGATATCGGCAAAGATACCGTTGGAAATGCTAACAACTTCACGAAAAGAACCAACGCTTCATTGACTAGATAAAACCAAAAAGCGCAATAAATATGTAAAAAAATCCTGCAAACGATGCTCATATGATAACAACATCGAAAAAATAAGGGTATTCGGCTTAGGGGGGGGGGGGGAGAATCGAATGGTACACAGATAGGTTACCTTGTGAAAACTTGTACACTCTTGAGATCAAAATGGCTCACTTATTTCGCAGCTTCACAAGAGTTCACAGGTTTCGTCAAGATGAGACCTGTTGATTGACATGAAGTGGCGAAAGGAAATAAAGAAAGGGTAATTGACCCTCCCAAGCCGAACAGCGCCAAAAATTCGTGCACATCACCATCGTACGACCAAAGCTAACAAATCAACTATCCAAATTAGTGCCACAAAAACCTCGCACAACCTAATGTTCAAGAGAAAAATACGCGAACATCGCCTGTGCGCGCGTAAAATCAATACTTTTGCCAATAAATAGTTAATGAAGCGGACTGTTTGATGAAAGCTCGCGCTGCGTAGTACACGATACTAAGCACAACAATCAGTACACCGGTGGATTTTACAAAACAAATTATTAACGAATCTACAAGAGGTGCATGAAATTGAGCTATTTTCGATGAAAACTTTTAACTATGACGAAAAAAGCGGGGCGACTCGCTGGTCGAGGGAACGTTTGTGGCGCGTAGCGTGCTGCTCGGACCCTAACCTACTTTATTACTTACTTAGTGTGTCTGCAATTGAAAAATAACAACGTAAAATAAAACCCGAGATCCAATAGTACAGATGTACGGAATTTCAAAAAAAATAGGGCGCGATTTCGGATTGGTGAAAGCACCAAATGGTACTTCCACTTAGGCCATCTCCTAGGAACCTGCCAATTTCTACAGCCAAAGTGGCTCACTTATACCATTTCGCTGTGTTAATAGGACTCACAGGTCTCACAAAGTGTAAACCTTGATAGTTAATTATGCAAAAGGTCGCGAAAGAACAGGCAGGAGCGCAAAAATGCCCCCTATGGCCCTCCCAAGCCGACCATCGCCAAAAACGACAATAACTAAGGCCCCAACTTCGTGAAATAGAAATAATTTACTAATACTGCTGCATGAATTAAGCTCTAACAGTGGGAGGAATCCGCTGATAAAGAGTGTAATTTGCGAATGTTGTTTTTTCAGCTGAAATTCGTGGAATATAGAAGGCACGGTAGAACCAATGAGACTCCGATGATATCAAAAATGGATGCGAATACAAACGTCGGAAAACGTCGGTCTGAAAAGGGATACTTGGCAGTAAGCAAATAAAAAAATTTCAAAATAAGCGGCAGTAGTACGAAAATAAACAAACCATAGCTCCATAGTTGGGTTCATTAGCAGTAGTACGATTAGGAGTTTCTAGGATCAACCACGTAATCGCAATGATATCAGTTTGACGAAACGTACCTAAACCTCCAAGCTTACATTTGGAAATGATCATTGGTTCCATTTATCATGGTAACAATAAGAAGAATGCAATGAGAAAGCACTCGGTACTGACGAATCCACTTTTGGAATGCACCATGCAGGCGCTGTTTTGCTTGAAGGGCCCTGTCGCCGATGTCTTTTGTTAATTCAAGTACGTGAAAAAAAAAAGGGAACAGGATCACAAACGCTGTTAACACTGCTGAAGTTTTGTAAAATGGAGCGAGCCCTCAGGAAATAACAAGTCTTTGCAAGATGGCTCGCACAAACTTAGCTCACTATCAATAGATGCCCCCTCCAAGCGGAATTCCGCACACCATGCATTCTACCTCAAATCAGGGTCATAACAGCATTAACGCTGCTTATGTGATGCTGCATACTATGCGCACGGTCCAAAGGTGCAAATCCCCATTTGGCTTCTGCCCACTCCGCAGCCATAGCTTCATCCTCCAGGGGGCGGAAAGGTCTCGCGAACCCGTCTGCTACTAACAACACCGGCTCTTCATGCATCTCCTGCACAGGGACCACACACAGCGTCCAGATTCCAAATGCACTTCCTATATGAGAGCAGAATGCGTGGCGCATCTCGGGAAAATGTCTGAACTATGTCAAAGGCTCAACCAGTTTACTAAAGAGAAGGAAAGCATGGGATTTCTAATCACATAAGAGTGGTGTAGTATTTCGGTTCCATCATTGTTTGTTTTCAAAATGAACAGGTCCAGTACTTTGAAATATTGTTTTCAGAAGGAGCGTGTAAGATACTATAATTTCGGAGAAACTTGGGTGAAACCTGGACGGCTCTTCTTGGTTCATATCATTCATTTCAGTAGGAATGCGGCGTGTAATGAAAGGCAGTCGGCCTTGCGGATAATACTTTGGAAGAAGGCCGGCGAACTCGCTTTTCAAGAAATGGAGATGTACTCCTGAAACAAGCACACTATCCACGAAACTGTTAACAAAATGACCAGATGCTGCATGCAAGGAGACGGTCAAGACACTCGTAGTTTGCCACTCCGTCGCAGGCGGCGATGGGCGGCGTCTTTTCTCAACTTACACTAGCCTGTTGATTGGAACACAGCGCTTCATGTGGACTGTGACATCAAAGATATTTAACGCTAATTTTGGTTATACATTCTCCATTATCGCCGTCCATTACTTAGAAACACCGCCATTTGCGGGTACGATGACCACCGGCGCGGCGAATTACGATTGTCTTGGCACACATCCTTGCATAAAAGGTATGCTAACACACCGCGTTTCCGGTGAGCGCGCTGATCAAACTCGCGCATTTCGGGGAGGAAAAATGATGAAGGAAATCTGTGCCACTCCTTCCCTACACACACGCGTAATGGATCCTGAATAAAAGATACCGGGCAGAAGGTGAGTAAAAACTCAAATGAAAAAATGATTACGTACCCCTCGTTTCGAAAAATCAAGTTCCTGCTGTGGCTCCGATGAAAGTGGTTCATTCAACTTTTATTAAACCTGGATAAGGATTGAGCTTGATACTGTGACCCTTCGCAACTGCATGTCAACCTTACCTCGATATGAGCGCTGAAGTTTCTGTGAAGTGCATAAGTCCTCGACATTGACGCGAGGATGAAACACAGTACTACCACCCAGGAAAGTATGGAAAATGAAGGAAAAAGGCGGGATACCAATCTAGAAAGACATTTTTTTTTCTCTAAAGAGTCGCAAGATCACTTCAACATAACTGTACCTTTCAGCGGAATCCAAAGATATCGCAGCGAATAGAGCTATTAACGGATAAATTGGGAAAAGGAATCTCTCCTCTTTATGGGGTTGGTTGAAGAAAATCATACACCACACCGAAAGCGATGCGAATAGCAGAAAAAGAGATGAATAATGTCGCCAGTATGAAGGATGAACTGCTGAAATGGATGAAGACATTATCTTGCAGCCCTGTAAGTATACCTACGCTGCACGTTCCAGAGACAAAAATCCATTGAAACTTCGCCCAGTTACCACCGTAATAACAAAACTCCGGTCAAGTACACGCTCGTAAGAAAAATTCTACCACAACTTTGCGCGATTTTCAAAAAAGATAGTCTGCAATCTTTTGTGAAGCGATTTTTCGCATTCTTGCATGAAGTGCCCACCACACTACACCCTGCATGCAGCAGACCTCATCTGACGCACGCCTCAGATAGCCACGCCCCATTTTTGCTGCGAAAACCATTTACACTTATATTACACACATTATACACTACAATTTCTACTTATCTGTCGAACGGACTTTCATAAAATAAAACACTTCCCGCCCCGACGACACCGCCCTTTTACTAGAGGGTTTAAGGAAAGACTCCGCCCAGTTTTCACAGGGCTTATTGAAAAGTTTGCCGCATTGACCTTGGCCATCCTTTTCAGGGGACTTTACACAAACATGATGTACATATAGTTCTCAGACTACCGAAACTAAGCTCCATCCCCTCGCCCACCGCCTTGTTTCGCCATCTGTTTTTTTTGCAGAATTTCATAGCTTGAAGTTTGAAAAATTTTAAAACTTTCGTTACACACCAATATGAAAACTAAGAAAAATACATCATCTAGAAAAATACTAAGACAAACATAGAACAAAACGAAGTAAAAAAATGTATATAGAAAAATAAAATAGCAATATGAATGACGCTAAGGTTATACATGGAAAACTTTACTTATTTTCCGATATTTTCCTTAGGCTAAGGCTGAAGAGTAGCACAAACGAATCCTTCAGAAAGGAACTCACGGATTCCCCATTTTTTGTGTTCTTTAGCTGCTTTCCATGAGAAGAGGTAATTCAAAGCCGAAAATGGAATCGCAAGTGGAACTAGTAATACTGCTATATTCCAGTTTAAGACCAGGTTCTTCAGGTAATACGATAGAGGCTCGACACCATAAAGATCTGGTCCATGTTCAGAAAACACATTGTAAAGAACGATGTTGAGTGGAGCCTAAAAAAACGCAAACGCAATTTATTAATAAGTTCCAAGACACATATTTTGTTGGCGCTGTTCGGATTGGCGGGGCACGAAATGGTACTCAGAGAAGCATGTGCAGTCCACCATGTGAAAACCTGCAAAATCTTGTAACCAACTTGGCTTCCAAGTTACATTTCGCAACATTTCGCAGTTTCACAATAGTTTTCAGGATTCATCAAAAGGAGACCCGTTATCTAACATGAACTAGCAAGAGGAACTCATGAGTGCCCCAAGCGCCCCCACCAAGCTGAACAGCGCCATTCTGATATACTGACTATGACAGAATTTCATTGCTTACCAGAACTCGTTTACCATAGTAGTAAGAATCGACCGCTAGAAGAGAACCACAAACGACAAAGCCGGACACGGCAGCATAATACAAGAACATCTTTGTACTAAAGATTGCTTTGATGAAACGAACCAAGTGATTGTAATTATTTAGCTGTTGTTGCAAGCCCGAACTGAGACGACATAGGAATACTCACTTCGGTCGAATAACCAGCATTTCTAGGACGATTGGAAGACCAAGTGCGGCAGCAAAAGGCCAACCAACAAGTGCCGAGACAGCTGTACAGAAAATCGCGTAGAACCTGTAAAGGTAGAGGTCGGAAGTCGAGATAAGGGACAAAGTTTTGGCGCCGATCAGTCATCTTTTGGATGCGCCACGCATTCTACTTCAACTCAGAATTGTAGTGGATTCTGAATGAGAAACGAGTACGATTCCCGAGGGTCTGCTTACGAACAAGATTTTTGAGATCTCCCAGGAGGGTCATTCCACAGACGGAAGGCTTAATTGGCGTGAGCGAGAGCCGATCAGGGGGACTGAATAGTACGCGTATGAAAAATCAACAACAAGATGACTACACTCACCATTTTGCATTTAAAAACGCTGCCATAGCGTACATGTTCATGGTCATAGCAAAGGAAGAGGGCAGAAAGGCAGTACTGAAATGGAGAAGAAATAATGCCAAGTGCACCAATATAATGTCAAATTTCAGCAGAAAAAAGCTAAAAAGGCAGAGGAAACGGACAAGACAATTGTAATTTGTCGCGTCGGTGCGCGGCGTATCGCCCGATCATGCGTGGCAACTTCTCAATGTGCGTCGGCTCATCGATTGAAGCAGAGAAGATCATATGAACCTGAGCAAAGGCAGGACTCCGTTACTGGTGATATCGAATCCTCTTCCCTATGATAGTGATGTTCAAACGGCCAAGCACGACAACTCGTCCGTCGGGCGCGGTGTCGCTTGAAACGCCCACCAACGGGCATATTACGATGGTCTTGTCACGTACCCTCTACAAAGCTGGGGGAGCAGGCGACAGCGCGACTAAGGCTGCTCGTCTGCTGCTCTAACCTAGATAAAGATCCCTTCGTTGAAGATTAGCCTTGGCAGAAAAAGCCGGGGTCATTGCGGTGCCCCCAAGCTACTTTAATGGCAAAAAGATCGTATTCCACATACCTTGATATAAACATACCCGTGGACAGCATGGAAAAAATAACGAAAAATCGGCCAATGCTGATACTCAAACTGCAAATGGAATTATAAAACGTTGTCCTCTCACAAAGGAATGCATGAGCGCAGCTCGGCTAGAAAGGGGAGGAGAAGGGGGGACTTTGCACTTCGCTGTTGTCGTGTCGAGCCATCAGGCAGATAAATGTAAAATCTTGTGAAGCCATGACGCGATATCAGTCAAATTTGTGGAAACTATCTGTCAACTTTTGTGAAGGAACGTTCACGACAATTGGAGGCAGCAAAAGTGCAAATGCCCTCCCTCCCCCCCCCCCCCCGTCGCTGAACTACACGGTCAAAAAATAAAGTAAACAAAAACATACTGTTTACAAACTGCTTTGTAGAGTGCAAACTCTGCCATAAGAGTGAATATGCCAATACAACATCGCAACGTAACGAATAATGCAATTTTTGAATAAGGCAATAAGTGATAGAGGATATTTGCAGGAATGTAGTGGAGATAAATGTAGAAATAGGACCTGTATGGGCTTCTATTAGCTGGAAATCTTATTCAAATAGTGAATCCAGTCACCTTATAGCATACACTGGAGAATATTCCCAAGTTTGAAGACCCTTGCCAAACAAGAGTAGATGAAGCGGTTCCCAGTAATTGTAAACCTGAAAGCCGAGTTCTGACAAAAGCAGTGACTAGGAACAGAAATCAAAGAAATGAACCTCATCACAGTCGCTAATATTGCTCCATAGGGCTGCAGAAAGCCTCAGCGAAAAGAGCAACTAAACGTTCACCAAAACTGTTGGGGAAATGTAATCAATAGAAAATCACGAAATGAAAACAATGAAAGCAAAATCAACAGCTTAACTACTCTTGTGCGCTGCGATGATGAGGAGTTCCAAAAAGAATGGGTTTGGCGCGGTGCTAGCCCGATCCTCTTTTCTTTCGACAAGCGAAAAGACTGTATCACATCATTCGTAATAGTGTTCCAGTTGTTTTCGCTTACCCACTTCGACAACGCAAGGAGCACGGGCGCGCCAAAGCCTTCGTCGCTGACACACCCCTTCATCTGCAGTGAACAAGACTGTACACAGGTACCCACCTTAAGCACTGCGTTCCCGCTCGGTTGCCAATCAAAGTCCAAGTCTTCGCGTGAGACGAACAGCTTTCCGCGGATCTCATTCGACGATATTTGATTGGAGTGACTGATGTCGTTCGAGACTACAAAGACTCATAATTTATTTACTATGATTCACTACCATTCTAACAAATACAAGGGAATTCATAATGCCGATACACGATGTGAGGGGAAAAGCGCGATGCACAGCTGCAGCAATCCTGCCTGTTGGCATTCTCCCACATCGCTTGTTGACAATGGGTTCCTGTCGCGACATAATAGCCTCTACCCTGTCTCCTACCCAAAATGATGGGAGCAGTTCGGCCTGGTGGGGGCATTTGGCCCAGTCCCAATCAGTCACTGTCGATACCTCCTGTGGGGACTGTACGATCCTACAGTTTGTGGAATAGCATGCTCTTCGCTCACATTCGTTTCACTAAGTTGAGACTTGTAATTCAACAGGAACGGACATGAGCGATAGCGAAAGTGCAAAACTACCCCTCCCCCTCCCCCCTCCCAGCCGAACAGCGCCAAGTCCAAATTATGAGTATGGGACTATCATCAACTGGTGAACCGCACAGGATAATTCTGCCCAGGTTTTCAAGTAGATGAGCCAATAAAATTATGCCTTAGATCACTTCCAGGTTCTCCAAGACTTTCAAATGCTTCAGAGGGATAGCCTACTTTTCCGATTCACGTTTACGGAAGCTGAACAACAGTTCAGTTTTACCATTTTCCTGCAGTGCACCGTGCGCCCCACTCTGTTAGGGTATCGCTCAAAAACTGATGGCTTTCCTAGACAAACGGGCGACAGTTAGAATGATTAAATGCAAAATCATACGGTACAGAAGTTCTCGAACAGTTGCCCTATGAACAACGGCCTCACCGTTTCGAACGTGTGAGTGCTGTAAGGTTGCAGCACAAGGGCCGTAGAGCTGAGAGGGTAAGATGCGCCTTTGGTGGCGTAGAGCAGCGCACTCGCCCGAAAAGCGTGAGGTGGGGGTTAGAGTTTCGCACGCAGTCAGAGTTTTGAACATAAGTGAGCATTCTTAGGATAACTTTTGGAGCGCGAATTGGGGCGTAAACAGCACTGCTATAACAAAATACATCAAAAAGTTGTGAGCAACGATTCCAACATATTGAAGTTTACTTACGATTGTGATGAAGATGAAGGTGAAGCGTGGGGTGTCGTCCCACCAAGTGGCGCTTGTTCAGATGGTTGAGGGTTTATCACCACGATTTGATGTCCGCCGGATCATCGACATGTTCTTTCGCGGCATGCCTGCACCTAATTTTGAGTACACTTATTAGGCAACGTACAGTCTTATTCGCCGCAGATGACGGGCGCCACAGAGGGAGAGGGGTATGGCGCGGCGCCAGATCCGTTTTCCACCAGCTGTTTGAACAAGAGCAACGAAACGAGTAATAATATAGACTTACTCCGCCAAATGTCGCCAACCTGTTTCGACAACTGGTAGGGAAAGGGATTTGGCCCTGAGCCAAACTAATCTTGTCTGACCACGCCCCTTCACCCGCAGCGAACAAGACTGTATACGAATAAGAGCAAAAATTTGATAGTTTAGAGAATATTATGTACAAGGCGAATGGACGCCGATAAACGTAAAACAAAATAGGCTTTCAAATTTATAACAGAACAAGAAACAATGATTCACGAATATTTTGAGCAACTATGCTTTTTAACTATAACATCCTATAACAACCTATAAAAACATTAAAAATGGTATAAACAATCATCCATCAGATTTTGGATTGTTAGGCTTGGATTGTTGTCCGCCTGAAACGACCACGACGCTCCTTTCGATCCTCTGTCTTGTTTCCTTTCTCTGCTTCTTCTTCTCCTTCCGATTTCACCAACTGAAACATTGCAGAGAAATTGCGCTCGCAGCGAAACTATCCAATTTGCAGTGAAGCACACTTCATACCCGGAAGACAGAGAGGGCGTGACCGCTTACTTCACTTGAACATGACGTGGGACACGTTTGTTGCGAGTTGTGTGACATGTGAGACAAATGTCATCTTATCCTGCTCTGGACAACGACATGAATACACTTTCACTAGTACGGCAATATCCCATAAGACGCGGTCGACGTCACGTTTCAGATGGGGCATGTAGCTACGCCCTCTCTATCTTCGGGGTATGCGCAAATGTCCAATGTGAGAAGAGCGACCCCGGGAGAGGCTCCAACCTGCACATCTTACTGGACTAGTTTGCTAACGATTACGTCAAGGCAGTATTTTTCACTTTGTTTATAGTTTCCATGTTGTGGCTACCACACTAGTCCGGTAATCGTGAGGTGGACGTTCGCGCCCTGCCTGGAATCCCACCTTTTGCCCATACCTTGCATTTGGGATAAATTTCGAACTGCGGATGGCGAAAAACAAGACTTATTTTGTAAAAATGAGTCTTAAGAATAAGAGTGACACATGTCATACCTGCACCTCGTACTCTTGGCTGAGTTCACCCAACGGACCGCCAGTACCTCGAACATTGCTAGCATCCACAGTAGTCTGATGGAAATTCCAGGTTCAGTTGCTACTCAAGTTCAGTACTCAACAAGTGCAATACCTTTGGCATAAATTGGTGCTTTTTCACTTGTTCGTCATTTTGTGATGTAGAAGGAATGACGGTACCATCCTTGAGGAACGCGTTGAGATCTTTCAGCTGATCGCGGT